CATTAGGATTGATCTGATGTACCTCAAGAAACATGTTTCTAGACTTTGTTTATATTTTTGAAAACCAAAAAAATCCGAAAAAATTGTTTTTAAAAAATTTCTATCCTATTTCATGCCATTTTCCCTATATATAAAAGTACACCATAGGTGTTCCGAGAAAATGCTCGAAAACTCGGAATTTTTGATAGAGAGCATTTAATTTTTTTTTTGACCAAAAGTGTTTTCCAGTCGAGATCAGCCTTTTGAACAAAAAAAAAATGGAAAAAAAAGACCTTTCCAAAAAAAGTGGATGGGTCTCCATGGATTCACCCTTATCTTTAACATTAGCACCTTGAATAAGAACTGATTCAAATATTCGTGCTGCATTAAGTGTTTGTTCAAAAGTTTCTAAATTTTGTTGCATCAAATGTTTCCGAACATGTTCATTTTTTAAACCACCAACAAATGCTGCAATTAAAGCATCTTCGTAAAAATCATTTGGAAACTTACATGTTACTGATTTATCTCGAAGAGTATTTGCAAAATCAGTAAGAGTTTGTGATGATGATTGACGTGTTGCAAAAAAATTAATTCTTTCCGTTGAAGCAAATGTAACACGTGCATAATTTGTACGAAGTTTTTGAATTATTTCTGAATAAGAACATTCAGTAGGTTTCTTTGGTTTACAAACAGAAATAAGTGTTTTGAAGGGTTGAACATCAAGAGCTGTAATAAGTAAGTTTCGTTTCTTGTTATCATCAGTAATACCTTCAACATCGATATAAGTATCGAATAAAACTTCCCAATCATTCCAATCATAAGATGTTGGATCGAATTCATGAAGACGATATGTATTTGAACGTACAGGTTGTTCAGCAGCGGTGCGGTTGAGAGGCATTGTAATATTGTAAAAAAAAAGTTTTGTTTTTAATGATCTCACTCTCGTCGCCAATTGTCACGTATTCAGAGTATACGTAAAAGCCAGAAAATGTATTGTATTATCAATTGCGTAATACAATAAAGATCAAGGTCAATAACTTGTTTTATTGACTTGAAGAACAGAAACAACTAACAAGTTAGATGAAACGAAACGAACAAAAGTTATCATCTTTTTAAGAAAAGACAAGCATATATATAGAGAAATCTATATGTTGTGATGACTCATACAAATGGCATGCAGAATACGAAAAAGAAACAAAAGAAATATAACAATAGAAATATTGTTATATACGCAATTAGAATGATCACAACATAAAGGAAAAAGAACACATAAATATATGTATAGAATTATACATATATGTAAATCATGATTCATCAGTAGACAAACACCAACAGATAAGAAATGAAATAAATGTAACAATAATAATAATTACTGTCAATACACTACATCTGCACTATTACAGTAGTCATATGAAGGTCACAATCCACTACACTTAATGGTCATGTAAAGTGAGCATAAGTTCAGTCAAATTGAACAATGATGTTTTCTCTAGAGACTTATATCAGTTTCTAAGCTTTGCTGGATAGATAAGGCAGAAAATTGACAGTAATCAGTATAGATTACATCGTCAGCATATAATTTTGCAATCAATTTTCTTCGCAATCAAGATCATGAAGTGGTGCGCACGAACTCATCTACGTAAATGAAGTATCGAATGAAAATAATGCGAACCATTATATATAAAGATATCTTCTGATTATTAGCTGTTGTAGAATACAACTAAATTATGGGAACTGATTTGTGAACGACATTTAGTGAGATTTTCAAGTACCTATTATTATGATTTAAGTATTAGACTTACAATTTTCATTCACTTTCTTCTCATATGATGGATGTGATCTTCTTTACACGCATACCCACACTCACATCCCACATTTCAATAGAAAAAGATAATAAAATTATTTCTTTAGTAAAAACAAGTCATTATGACTATCACTGTATCAATGTCAAAAAAAACGAAATCAATTAGTTATGGTTTATCGAATTGTAAGACTGAGTTTACTTTAAGGACCAATTATTGTACACATAATTTTATCTCATCATTCCAAATTTACCTTAATGAAAAATATCTTTCGTTAAAACTTCATGTCCTTTCAACTATTACATTTCATTCTTCAAGATGAAAAATCTATATTGAGCAAAAATTTATGTCATCAACTAACTGCAGTAACTTTTGTGAAATTAAAATAGCTTTTTCTATATGCACTCTCATTGATCAAATCTTAGAAATTTATATATGAACTTGAGTCACTTCATTCAAAACTACAGAAAGTTGTCATTTTTCCTAGAAAGACTGATTTGTTTTGACGAACTTATGACTTTTCACGACTTACGTGTCTTTTCAAGTGGTCAACTTATATGAAATATTGACAAATTTCTCAATAAAAAGTTTTGAATTCATGATTAATAATTTCTGCGACGAGCAGAAATTGTATATACTCTAAGATTATCACTATCATTACATGAGTATTTCCAGAGAAATGTTGAATTTTTCTGTAAAACTTTGTATGTTGTTATAATTAAAAGATGCACGATCGCATCCTACCTATATTGAGTGGAATAGAACTTTTATTTTCATCAGAAAAGCATAAAAAAAAGCTTGTTAGCGCAGCCCCTTTGGGGCTGAAATGTGGAACTCACATATCTCCTTTGGTTTCAATATACTAATGACAAAATACCCAATATTTAAAATCTCCAAAAGATAATAGTTCTTTTCTAAAGATAATCGATTAGTAGAAAATGCTATATTTTTATCTCTGAATTTTGAACAGAATTTTTTTTCACGAAGTTGCCAAGGTCTGTAATGGTGGGGTGTCTGTAATGGTGGGTATGTCTGTAATGTTCTCTTTCTCCGTTACTATGTGTCTGTAATGGGATGAGGGGGGGGGGGGGGGGAGCCGCCAAACCTCGAACTTAAAACTTACACTCACTATTTTCTTCGAAAATCTACGTGAGTTCCACAAAAAACAAAGTTTGTACATTTTATAAACATTGTTAAAAGAAAGAGAAAATTTTCTTGTTTCTGTGATATTTTTACATGGTTTGATAGAGTTCGTTGAGTTCTACAAAGTGGTGTATCTAAAAAAATTTTTATTCGTTGTTTTAGAAAAAAATTAAAAAACTACTTGAAGTATGTTGCCGAAACCCGCATTCTTCATATGAAAGAGAAATCTCCAAGTTGTTTAGAACTGATTTAACTTTTCTTATATTTACCATTGCTTAAGAAACTTACCTACGAGTATAAATCGAATTGATTATTACCTAAAAAGCATTAACTATCGTTAATTTTATTCACTATGCTAGAATGTTATGTCACTTTACAATATCATGAAGAAAAAGAATAAAGAATCAGTTTTTTTCTCTCTTGGTACGTATTCTCGAACAAATACGCTTTAGTATTTAACACTCATCAGTCAAAAATCAATGTGAGCTTCAATGAAAACCTTTTTATATTGTTTATCAGTTGTCTGATCTTTCTTCAAGATCGTTATTTTTGTGAAAAGCTTTGACTTTCATGAATTTTTTAGAGCATTGTTTCAAGGAGTGATAGAATAGTTGTATTCAAAATACAAGTAATTTACAACCCATTCGTAAACCAAATTTGTCGTTAGAGAATGTATTTTAGCAAATATAACTAATGGAATTTTTCGAGCATCTTATAGTAACGCTAAATTCTTTGTTTTGACAAATAAATGTTACTGAAATGTGTTCTCTAACGATAAATCCACTTTGTGAATAATCCGAAATACTGCGCGGCATAACCAGATTTTAGATCATGTTCGCTGAGCTTTTTAATCATGATCACAATAGAAACAAAGAAAAGAACTATGTTCTTACTTAACTCAAATCCATTTGATTAAATAGTTACAGATACAATTATTTTCGAACTATATTTGTAATAAAAAATAAATTTTTTTGATCTTCTCTGCTATGTTGTAATGTTTCGTTTCGTAGATTGTATGTTGTAGGAAGGAGGATTGAGTGTGAGTAATGAAGAATTAAATACTCACACGAAACGATATTTTGGATTGTTCATTTTCTAATACCGTTTTCATTCCTGAATTTCTGAAGACATAGGATGAAAATAATTGAACTTAAACGTTCTAATCCCAAGCAACATTGTAATTCAGAAAACTTAAATTTCCGTGAAACAATTAATATATTATAACAATAATTTAAGAGTTTGCAATTATTTGTGTTGTGAAAAACTTAATGCAGTTCATACAAGCGTAGACTATATGACAAGTTCGATACTCATGACAGTCATATCGATTACCGCCTAAAACATCCTTGAAGAAGTTTCGGACAACTAATAAAACATATAAAAAACTTTTTGATTGAAACTTTATTAAAGTGTATTTGTTCGATAGTATCTAGCTAGAGGAAAGAACGGATATGTTGCTTTTTTTCTTCATAATATGTCAAGCAAAAAGATAAAAAGTTTTATTATTATAAAGGACAAAGCTAAAGATTGTTGATACATTTTAGATACTCAGCAAAGCAATTTGTATGGATGAGTACATTCATAGGCTGAAAAGCTATTTGACTATGTCATCGAATGACTATATTTCCTAGTTTTTGAGGTAGTGAAAATGTAAGATAATCAAAATTTATTCGAAAAGAAACTTGCATGCTTTCACTCAAGATTCTAGGTTATATACAGTGTTTAAAACTGAATTCAATGAAAAAGAAAAATATATTTAATCAGACATCTCTTGTTAGAATCCACATGCGAGTTTTCTTGAAAGTTATTCAGAAAAATTTCTTCAGCTTTCATAATTTTGGTAAATTGTACAATAGTGTCATATGATCTATTTAAAAAACTCAGTTTTCTATAATTAGAAAAGTGCTGCTAAATTCTATGGAACATTGAATACCATAGTACTCAAGTTATTCTTGTCGGATTAGGATCAGCTAGTCCTAATACCATATGCAACCAACAAGATAAAATTGAGAAACATATATTAACAAGATTTAGAAATATGGTCATTTTTGAGTGTACCTTAGTGGATGTAACATTGAGGACAGATTCATTATCTCCACATGCAAAAATTGAAATTGTTTGGGCATAATGTGAAATATATTTTTCATGCAAAAGAGATTCAGAATTCTATAAAACGTAGTTGAAACTGTTGCTCTGTATTATACCATATATTATAATGTTATGCAAATAAAAAATATATTATTCCGAGAAAATAGAAAACAGTAAGAAGACAAATTATTTAATACTAAAATCGGATAACGAAATTGTTGTGAATCAGACCAATAAGTGGAAAGCAGCTCAAATAGTAAAAATTAGTACTTAAACGTTTGTCTGTCATCACGAGAGATAGTTTTCATCAGTTGTTTAACCCTCGGTTATCGTCCTCATTTTATAACTTCAACAGTGTCCTGGGGTCCGCGTGGACCCATCCCATAAAATTACAAAAAAATGATGGTTTTGCTTTACGTAAGGTATTTATTAATATACTATAAATTTTCAAATGCTCTTCTCCCTAGAGACCTATTTATCGCTTCTTATAGAGGCAATATAAGAACGCACGATGCGAAGAAAAGGATTCACTTATACTAGTTTCATAACAGAATGGAAGTGCAAGTAAAAAAATCATACATCCAGTACATCCAGTCTGCGGTACGAATACCCTATGTTAGCACATACAGTTGTCTATGAATAAGAAAACGAGATATTAGTTGTTATGATGTTTATTTTTATCTTCTTCTTTTGTATATGATCAACAAAGTTTAAAACAGAAATGTCTCTACTATGTGGATCAAGTTGTCAGTATTTGATGGTTTTCGAGAAATTTTTAGTTCTTCTTTTCACATGTTCAACAAGTTACTACTGTGATGCTGCTGGAATGCGAAAGACAAACATTTTGTCCACAATTATCACAGAT